AGAAGAAAAGAAGTAACACAGATCAGAACAGACATAAGTGAAATAGAGGCTTAAAAAATGCAAAGGATCAGTGGAATGAAAAGTTAGTTCATTGAAAAGATTAACAAAACTGAAAAACTGCTAGTCAAACTAAACAAGAAAAGAAGAGAAAACTCCCAAATAAACAAATCAGAAATGGAAAAGGAGGCATTACAACAGATACCACAGATACATGAGAGGTCATCAGAGAGTATTATGAATAACTATATTCTGACAAACTAGAAAACATATGAGAAATGGATAAGTTCCGGGAAACATACAACCCACCAAGACTGAATCAGAAAGAAAAAGAAAACCCAAACAGATCAATAACAAGTACTGAGACTGAATCAGTAATAAAAAGTCTCCCAATAAAGAAATGCCCAGGTCCAGTTGGATTCACAGCTGAATTCTACCCAACCTACAAAGACAAACTAATATCAATTCTCCTGAAACTATTACAAAAAAATCGAAGAGAAGGAAATTCTCCCTAACTTGTTCTTTGAGGCCAGCAATACCCTGATCCCCAAATCAGACAAGGACATAACCAAAAAAAAAAAAAAGAAAACTACAGGCTACTATCCCTGATGAACATAAAGGCAAAAATTCTCAACAAAGTACTAGGAAACCAAACCCAACAGCACATCAAAAATATAATATACACAATTAGTTGGGATTTATAACAGGATAGTATAAAATATGCAAATAAGTAAATGTGATGCATCATATGATCATCTCAATAGATGCAGAAAAAACGTTTTATAAAACTTAACGTTTCTTCATGATAAAAGTTCTCACCAGTTGTCACACTTGTTCTCAGCCTCCCAAAGTACTGGGATACTACTTTTAGTTTTTAAATTTATTTAAAACTTCAGTTTTAAATCTCTTTAAAAATTCTATTTTTAATTTTTAAATTTATTTAAAACTTCAGTTTTAAATTTCTTTAAGAATTAAAAGTAGAATCCCAGCACTTTGGGAGGCTGAGAAAGGTAGATTGTTTAAACTGAGAAGTTCAAGACCAATTCAAGAAACCCCATTCCTAAAAAAGTACAAAAAAAAAAAAAAAGTAGCTTGTTATGGCAGTGCATGCCTATAGTTCCAGCTACTCAGGAGGCTGAGGTGGGAGGATTGTTTGAGCAGAGAGATAGAGGTTGCAGTGAGTTGTGATCACATCACCACACTCCAGCCTGGTTGACAAAATTAGACCCTATCAAAACAAAAACCAAAACCAACCAACCAAACAAACAAAAACCTCTCACAAACTATACGTAGAAGGAACATACCTCAAATAATAAAGTTTATATAGAACATCCCATCCTACCAACTGGAGAAGCATTGAAATCCTTTTCTCTAAGAACTGCTACAAGATAAGGGTGTCCACTTTCACCACTCCTATTCAACAAAGTACTGGAAGGCCTAACCAGCACTATCAGGCAAGAGGAAGAAATAGAAGGCATCTAAATTGTAAAAAAGGAAGTCTAAATGTCCCTCTCCAATTTTACATCTAGAAAAACTTTTATAGACCCCACCAAAATGTCTTAGATTTAATAAATGAGTTCAACAATGTTGCAGGACACAAAACCAGTAGTGTTTCTATATACCAATAATGATCTAGCCAAGAAAGAAATCAAGAAGGCAATCCCATTTACAATAGCTACCAAAAAAAAAAAAAAAAGTACCCAGAAATAAATTTAACCAAGGAGATGAAATATCTCTACAGGAAAAACTACAAAATACTGATTAAAAAAATAAATAAATAAAGATGACACGAACAAATGGAAAAATACCCAATGCTCATAGATCAGAAGAATTAATATTGTTAAAATGACCATATTGCCAAAGCAATCTACAGATTCAGTGCAATCCCTATCAAGATAACAAGGTCATTCTTCACAGAATTAGAAAACACAATTCTAAAATTCACTTGAAACCAAGAAAGAGCCTGAATAGTAAAGACAATCCTGGGCAAAAACAACAAAGCTGGAGGCATCATACCTTACCTGACTTCAAAATATATTACAAGTCTAGAGTAACAAAAACAGTATGATGCTAGTGTAACAATAGACACATTGACCAATGGAACAGAACAGATAACCCAGAAATAAAGCCCATATTTACAGTCAATTGATCTTTGACAAAGCTGACCAGAACTTATTTTTGGGTAAAGGCACCCTCTTCAATATATTCTGCTGGGAAAATTGGCAGAAGAATGAAAATTGACCCCATCTCTTACCATATAAAAAATTCAACTTGGCCATGCGCAGTAGCTCACACCTGTAATCCCAGCACTTTGGGAGGCTGAGATGGGTGGATCATGAGGTCAGGAGTTCGAGACCAGCCTGGCCAGCAGGCTGAAACCCCGTCTGTAGTGAAAATACAAAAAAATAGCCAGTCATGGTAGTGCGCACCTGTAGTCACAACTACTCGGGAAGCTGAGGTGAGAGAATCACTTGAACCTAGGAGGCGTAGGCTTCAGTGAGCTGAGATTGCACCATTGCACTCCAGCCTGGGTGAGAGAGCAAAACTTTGTCCAAAAAAAAAAGTCAACTCAAAATGTTCTAATGACTTATGTGTAAGACCTGAAACTATAAAATATTAGAAGAAAATCTAGGAAGAACTCATAGACAAGGCAACAAAAGGAAAATAAATAAATGGGACTTAATCAAACTAAAAAGATTCTGCACAGCAAAAGAAATAATCAACACAGTGAAGAGACACTCTGTTGAATGGAAGAAAAATTTGCAAATTGTTCATCTGACAGGGAATAATGTCCAGAATATAAAAAGAACTCAAACAACTCACGACAAAAACAACAAACAATCCCATTAAAAAGTGGGCAAAGTGCATGAATAGATACCTATCCAAAGAAGACATACATACAGCCAACATGTACATGAAAAAATAATCAAGATGGCAATCCCATTTTCAATAGCTAGGAATAATTTACAAGATTAATCATCAGAGAATTGTACATCAGCATCACAAGGAGATATAATCTTACACCAGTCAGAATGGCTTTATTAAAAAGACAAAAATAACAGATGTTGGCAAGGATGAGTAGAAAAGATAACTTTTATATGCTGTTGGTGAGAATGTAAACTAGTAGAGCCACTATGGAAAACAGTATGGAAATTTCTTTAAAAACTAGAAGTAGAATAACCTTTTTTTTTGGGACAGAGTCTCACTCTGTTGCCCAGGCTGGACTGCAGTGGCACAATCTCAACTCACTGCAACCTCCACCTCCCAAGTTCAAGTGATTTTCCCACCTCAGCCTCCTGAGTAGCTGGGATTACAGGTCTGCACCACAATGCCCAGCTATTTTTTCTGTTGTTTTTGTTTTAGTAGAAACAGGGTTTCACCACGTTGGCCAGGCTGGTCTCCAACTCCTGAACTCAAATGATCCACCCTCCTCGGCCTCCAAAAGTACTGGGATTATAGGCATGAGCCACTGTGCCAGGCCTAGAATTACAATTTGACCCAGCAATTCCACTACTGGGTAGCTCCCCAAATGGAAATACATCAATATATCAAAGGGATACCTCCACTTGCATGTTTATTGCAGCACTACTCACAATAGCAAAGATATTGAATCAACCATCAGCAAATCAATGGATAAAGAAAATGTGATGTATATACGAAATGGAATACTATTCAGCCATAAAAAATGTGGTAACATGGATGAGCTTCAAGAACATTATATTAAGTAAAATAAGCCAGACACACAAACACAAAAATTGTATGTTCTCACTCATATGTGGGAGCTAAATAATTAGAACACATGGAGGGAGAGAATAGAAAAATAGATAACAGAGACTAGGAAGGGTTGGGGGGGTGGGGGTAGGATGAAGAGATGTGGGTTGAATGGTACAAAAATATGGTAAGATGGAATAAATTCAATGTGTGATAGCACAGTAGAATGATCATACTAAGCAAAACTGTATTGTACTCAGGTGATGGGCACCCTGAATACCCTGACTTGATCGGTATTCATTAGCTACATGTAACAAATTTCTCATGTACCTCATAAAACTACGGAAAAAAAAAGAAAAAAAAAATTATGTGATTTTTAAAAATGTAGGGGTGCTATGGTTTGAATATTTGTCTCCTCCAAAACTCATGTTGAAACTTAATCCCTAATGTAGCAGTATTAAGAGGCAAGGCCTTTAAGAGATGATTGGGTCGTGGACTCTGCTTTTGCAAATGGGTTAATCCATTCCTTAATTAATAAATGAGTGGGTCAATGGATTAATGGTTTGTCATGTAGTTGAGTCTATTATCAAAGCCACTTTGCTTCTCCCTCATATGCTCATCACCATATGATGCCCTACATTGAAGGCCCGGAGACTCTAAAAGGAGTCCCCATCAGCAATAAGGCCCTCACCAGAAGTAGCAGGTATTCACTCACTTATAGCAACAAAAATAAACCAGGATAAGAGGTGACTATAAGGAAACATCTCTGGAAACTGACTCCCCAGGTAGATGAAGCTGAGCAGCAGTAATCTTGAGTTCTTCAAAGGTGTTATTGTTTCTGTAGCTGAATGTCATGAGGGCTTTTCAGAGAGCTTTGAGATCTGCCCTTCGAGGTGTGGGGGCACACATGAGCAAGACACTAAGTTAGGGAAGACTTCTGCAGGTTCTGTACCAACAGAGCTTGAAGGAAATGTGGTGCTTGGGAATATGATGGGAAAAAATCTCCACTACATCCCAATTTCCTGTGATTATCAGGATGTATGGAAGAGAGCCTCAGCAGTACCACTGGGTCCATGTGATAGGGCATCGGAGTTTAAGAAGGTGCTTATATGGGATTGGATGTTACATAAAAGTCAAATTAATATACGTATATCTAAATACTTAATTTGCCTCTGACCACTAGCAAATCATTCATAGACCAAAAACATTCTATGGGCAACACTGAGCAGGACTGACTAAGTATGTTTGGGGTAAGAAGAACTTTAGATCAAATATAAAAATGTTGCAGTGTTAAAAAATGGAACTGGTTTTAATTTTGATAATCATAAGCAACCAGAAAATTGTAGATGATATTGTTTAAAAGGCTTGCAAGGAGAAATGCAAGAAAACACTGCTGAAAATGATGGGAGAAAAACAAATAAACAAAAAAAAACCCTCAAAACATTGTTTATACCCCAAGGTGTAGAGACTCTTCAGTACACCCATTACATGTAATCACTCTACTATATCCTCACTTTATGTCATCCTTGTGCAAGTGCTTGTATGTGAATAAAGTCCAATCATAACAACGGACCTGCTTTAAAATTGAACAATTTGAGTAACAGGTCCCACTTGTTTTCTTCTCTGGCAGGTACACAATGGAATGTCACACACACACAAAAATTCCTACAAGGCATAGTCAGTTTTTCTATTAGTAAATTTACTAGACTTTCTTTGTTCATAATTTTTATTTAAAAATCTGTTCAGTAGACTTCAGAGTCTTGCCAAAATGGTTGATAAACCCACACTGTTAGGTTTCCTCTAGAAAAGCCATCGAAAAGAAAAAAAAAATTTAAGAAATAATAACACAATAATTCCTATGAGAAGAAAGGCTGTCTTGGACTGGCATGTGGAGGGTGAAAGGAGAAGAAAAGGCTAGCCTAGGGCAAAACACACTGGGCTGTAAAAGGATACATTAGAGAAAAGCAGTTTAATTCTGCTCTTTCTTGCTGCTTTCACACCTTAATAACACCTAAGGGCAGCCTCCTCTGCAGAGATCTGCAAGAATGCTCAGGCCCCTAGTGCAGGTATCCACAAGAGTGAGATGAAGGTGAGCTGGAGCCCTGCTCAGCTATCAGCCAAGCCTCAAGCACAGAGACCTCCATCCTTTCCCTTCTAAATCCCCAGGGCTGGTGGATTATCATGGATGATAGGTACTTCTGCCTAATACTAACTCACCCTGGGAGTTGAAAGTAAATCAGAATAGTGAAGTTGTTTGGTGGGAAGTTTCAAATGGCAATGACTGTAGCTGTGGTTTAATAGTGCCTGGGGCTCTTCTTCCCTTTTCCTCTTCCTTGATATCTTGGAATCTAATAGAATAAACTCTGGCTTTCAGTCTTTCTGAAATGGGAATTATAAATGCAACATTTTAACCTAGGTAAAGAAGAAAAGAAGAATTTATAACTGGGACACAGGAGTATGTATCAGACCCCAAAGGCCTTCAGAAGAGCAGAGGGTCATCTCCACCCTATGTAGCTCCTCTCCACCCTTCCCTCTGTCTGCTTCGTTCTTTCTTTGCCTATACTGGGTTTTTAAATGTTGCATGTTGTGCATGGAAGCTGCCCACACTGCGGCACCTCTAAGGAGGATTACAGTTTCTTTCAGTGACAATCGCAAATTGCCTGGAAGTAATTCTGATTGGCCCAACTTAGGTCCGGTGTCCAATCCACTGTGACCAAGAATTTGTGGTCACGTGGTACACTATAGTTGCCAGGGTGGGAAGTGGTGGTGCGAGAGATGTAATAATAAAATTAATGACTTCATTGTGAGCCTGGCAGATACTACCCTCCAACACCAAAAAAAGCGTTCAGTGTAATACTTTATTCAAGAATCAGAAAAATCCAATGAACTCTCTAAAATCAATTGTATGATTTTGCAGATCGTACTTTTTTCACAAATCCAGCCAAGAGGGTAAACGGGAGGCTGGTTTGTTAGACTTGGGTTGTTTATCGTTTTAAAAGAGTGCTTTGTTTTTTAGATTTGCATTGTTTATTTACCCAAAGAGATGCCTTTTGTCTTTCGTAATTCATCTGCCTAGAGAGCGTTTTTTTTGTTTTGTTTTTTTTGTTTTTTTTTTTTTCAATCCTTCTGCCTGGAGGCATCTTTTTACAATTCAAACAAATATGACATTGATGACCTAGTCATTTTTACTAAATTAATCTCTAGTTTCTAAAATATTAAGAGCTCTGAATGAACGGTTCTCTCCTACAGTGTTAGAAACACAAAGTCTTAAATTCTACATTTCTTTGGTTTATGTGGAGAAAGAGAATCTCTCTATCTCTCCACTCTACCATTCCCACAGTGTAGTCATTAGGGGACCAATAAACTGATTCATGTTAAGTCACATGCAGTCAGGAGTCTTGACAAATACAGAATCTCTAAGATTGCTTTCTGTAGCATGTATATAATTCTTAGTGCATTATTAATGAAGTCTTAATTCTTAGAGCATGATTTAGGACAAATCACTTAATCTTGCTAGTTAGCCAAAAGAGCAAATGATCAAAGACTGAGCTCACAAGTAAAATACAATTGATTCATGATAAATCAGCAGTGCTTGAATGCTATGTATAAAATCCATACACACAAGAATCTGAAATATTTCTTCGTTTAATTATTCATCCATATCCTAGACTAAAGAAGAAAGTCAGGGGACAATTAGAAGATGGGAACAAAGGATTACACAGAAAATCCAATTCTCAAAGTAGTTCTAACAATGCTGTCCTTTCAAAAATTTAAATTTGCTCTTCTGCAACAGCAGTATCAAATATTTGGTCATTAGTATATATCTCCTTCATTAAAAATTGATTAAGCCAATATGGTAATCCTTCTCATTGCCTGTACAAAGAAAAACTAGTCAATAATATGGTTCATTGCCAGTACCAACACAAGCCACCAACTGCAGGACATCCAGCACATCGAAGTGCTTGCAGTAGTATTTCCTAGGTCTAAAACTAAACCAAGTCCCCTTAATACTCTTCTTTACCTCCTGAATTACAAACACGAATTCTATACTATTTAGATAAATACCTAATTCAGGACCGAGAGGAGCATACAAAACTCTAAGGGAAAGGTTTACTTTTTCCAACCTTCTAAAGAAACTGGACAGGCCAATAAATAGAGGTCCGTCATATTTATAGGTTCCAATAAAATTTGCCTATTGTACTTAAACAAGCTTTTGGATTTACAATTCTCATTTCAAATATACTTTTAAGGCCGGATAATACTCAATATGGCATTAACAGAATTTTATTTCCTATTTCATATTGGATAGACTACTCTAGCTGTAATAGGCTCATTGCCTGATGCATACAGCAGGTCAATACACCAAGACACTGAGTTGCAGCAGAGAAAGAGATTTAATTGCAGGGTCACTGAACAAGGAGATGGTAGGGAGCTTCAAATCCATCTCCCTGAAGAATTTGAGGATAATATTTTTAAGGGTTTTGGAGTGAACTGAAGTGTGGAGATTGTTGATTGGTGCCAGAGTGCACAGTGAAGTCATGGGATAGGGGGATGAATGAGGTGTATTCTTCTGCTGATCTCATTCTTCTGTGGGGGTCTTCAAACTGGTTGCTGGAATTTGGGATCTGAAAAACAATCTTGAGTGAAGCAGAAGTAAAGTCTGCAAAGATTGCAAAGATATAAATTATTTAGAATAAGAATAGAAATCACAAGAAATGAGAAATTTTACAAAATTTAACAAAAGTCTTAAACAAAAGCCTTATGACTCTAATGACAGAGATCCTGTCTGTAGGAACAATGGGGATGCAAATTATTTCTTAAACAGTCTATGACCCTCATGTCAGACATCCTCCCTATGGGAACAGTGGGCATGCAAATCAATTCTTAAACAGCCAATGACCCTAATGTCAGAAATTCTATCTATGGAACAATGAGCATGCAAATGGCCAGTATATAGTGTTACATGACTTTTAACAACAAGGAAGTGGGCCAGAGTGCAGCCTGATTAATGCTTAATTATAAGTATATTTCTGTCCAGAACTCGACCTGCAATTCTTGTCAACTCCGTGGAGATAGTTTCAACATCACAGTATGAAAGATGTCATTATCATACATATTCCCATTAGAAATTTCTGGGCACAGAAAATAATACAGGCTACCTTTGTCACAAAATACAAACCTGCTATGTAGAAATCAGAGAGCAGTGGCTTGCTTATCTTTCTTATCCAGTGTCCCTGGTACTAACAGCACCTGGATGATGATGATGATGATGATGATTATTATTATTATTAACAAGAAATACTTACATCTTGAGAAATACTAACATCTCATTTCAGTGCCGCCCAGAAAGCACTGTAAATTGAATGAAAACTGAGAAGAGGGGTCTTAGATGAAACTGAGGCTATTAGGTTGTTTAGATTTTGTTTTTTGTTTTTTTGTTTTTTGTTTTCCCCCTTTCCAGGATGGTTATGGTAAAGACTTGAAGAGTAGCAAGTTTAAAAGCTGTAAGCAGGTCTCTTACATTAGAGATACAGACATTGATTCGCCCTGGAGATGGAATGTTAAGAGAGTGGCCTTTTAGTTAATCAAATGCAAAGCCATTACGCAGACTTTATTCTTATATGAGATTGAATCGCAACTGACAGTGTGTATGTGAATGTGTATATCTCTGACCACGCTTTGTAAGTATTGAGAAGGGACTCATAATTGCTAAGAGTTACAGTGGAGGTGTGTATAGGAATAGATTTTGGTTTTGGGGGCATGAAGCTTATTTGGAGAGAGGCAGAAAATAAGTTTTTTAAGAAAAATTATGAAGATGTAAATGTATTTATTTAGAATGAGAAGAGAAATCACAAGAAATTCAAAATTTTCAGAAGTTGACAAATAAAAAAATCCAGAAATACTGCACAATGGCACTTATTAACGACCTTAAAAATGCCATAATACTTTTTTCTAACATGTGTATTTTTGCTGTATACTCTGAATTGCCTCTTGATATGACATTGATTTTATAATATTTTCCGTAGAGAGAACAGAAAGATAATTCAGTCTTTCCTCTAGACTGATCAAAAATTTTTTAAATTTGGTAGTTTAGAAAAATTTATTATAATTTCATTACTTATTGTTTGGGGTATCAAATTAAATTTTTAGGATTGTGGTTAATTTGGGAAACTCTCTGCCAAGATTTTTGTTTGTTTTTGAGACAGAGTCCTGCTCTGTTGCCCGGCTGGAGTGCAGTGGCATGATAATAGCTCAGTGCAGCCTTGACCTCCCAAGCTCAAGCGTTGCTCGCACCTCAGGCCCTCACCCCAAGTAGCTGGGACTACAGGCATGCACCACAATGCCCCACTAATTTTTGTATTTTTTGTAGAAACAGAGTTTCACCATGTTGTCCAGGCTGGTCTCGAACTCCTGGGCCCAAAGGATCTGCCTGCCTTGGCATCCCAAAGTGCTGGGATTACAGGTATGAGCCACCGTGCCTGGCATATTAAGTTCTGTTCATATGAGTCATAGGTTCTGAGGGCAATTTTGCACAGTATTATCAATTTAATATGAATTCTCTTGGAAATGATGATTTTTTTAAACACTTTGTTATTGATGTCCTCACTGTAGTTGGGATGTATTACGAGTTTGTGTGTTTTCTTCAGTCAGTATTTCTTGTTAAATCGGCAAGATATTTACATTTTTTCCACTTTGTGTATGTGCAACTCTTCCTTTTGATTGCATTGTCTGTCAATCCAAGAGCCTACTCATTACTCCCATTCAAACTTATCTTTTCCTCTTAATGAGTTACTCTTTTGGACATGATCTGATTTCATTGTGGTTGTTACAATGTACTTCTTTTTATCAGAGTAATTTCTATTGATTTTATCATTTATTCTTGTGGTTTTTCTTTTCATATTTCATTAATTTGAATTTGAGTTTTGGTTCATTAGTAAATACATTTTAAAATGGCAAAAGAATATCTTTCACATGTACCTACATCAAGAATCTATAATTTCTCTATCATTATATTGAAATTTTTCAAACTGTTTTTCTAAATTACAATTAAAATGGAAATATCTTCAACACAACTTCTCCTTGTTCCAAAGTCATAATGCCCAAGGCCATTCTAAGGGGGAGTTTGAAGGAAAACCAATCATAATGGAAAACGGTCTTGACAGATTACATTAAAATGCCTTACCTTTTCCTCCTCAGCTTTTCAAAGGTATAACTGACAAATGAAAATTGTATATATTCATGTATACAACATGATAATTTGAGATACACATACATTGTATAATAATTACCACAAATTAATTAATACATCCTTCACCACACAATTACAGCCTCCTGAGTAACTGGGTATATAGGCACGGGCTACTACACCTGGCTAATTTTAAAGTTTTCCTTTGTAGAAACAGGGTCTCACTATATTGCCCAGGCTTGTTTTGAACTCCTGGACCAGGCAATCATCCTGCGTAGGCCTCACAAAGTGCTGGGATATACACACCAGGCCAGGTGTCCATACATTTTTCATGGGCTTGGATACTTAATTAAAAGGTAGAAGGGGAAAAGTAGAGAGGAAAACTGAAGCAGTAGGTTTCTAGGCAAACTTATCTTTTTCCTTGTAGGATGTTTGTGTGTGTGTGTGAAGAGAAAAAAACAAAGAGGAAGAAGAAAACTTTGTTCTTTCCACTGCAGCACATTTGCTCGCACATTTCCAGGAATAATTTTTAATCTTGCTTTCCTCCTTCTTTTTCCCTAACAACTGACCTTCCAGACTACAGTTGAGTACACTAGAAAGTAAGCATATTGAAATTTCTTTGTATACATGTTATAGTAAAAGGAACATTTGGAGTCTCAGTTGGATTAAGGAAACAATAATTTAACTTAATGCAGGATCCACCTGCTGATAAAATGTGAGGTAACACACTTCGGAATGCCAATTTGAAAGATTTTTTTTTTTTAAGGTTGTCTGGGGAAAAAAAAAAAACCGTTTGAACACTTGAAGGTGCAATTTTTTATCTGACCACCAGGGAGCAGACAAATCCCTTGAAAGAAAGGCTCTTCAATCAAATGAAAAAGTCAAAAACCACAAAAGGAAAACAAATGAAGAGCGTTAATTACCACAAATAAAATGAAAAACACATTTTTTAAATTTTGAAAATAAAAAATACCAGAAGGCATATGTTAAAACAAAACATTTCAGCCATTTTCCATCTGACTATATTTAAAGGTTTTCTCGTTCCTCTATTACTTGGAGGAGGCAATGTCTCCCCTCTTTGAAGGCAAGCAAGTCCTACTTAAAGGAAAGATGTGCCAATTTACTGTCTACTCCCTAGAATTACTTGACACATCTAAAGAAAGTAAAGGTTGCGAGGTATCATGACAATCTATGGACACAGGCTTCCTTAGGAGTTCTCTTTAGTCACAGCAAAGCAAGCTGAAAAAAACAAGTTGGTTTTCAGTTTAACTTAGTGTGTAAATGCCAATAAAGACTCACTTTACTCACTGGCACATTTTAAAGTAAACGCCAGTCTAGCAATTATAAAATCAATACAATCGTTTTATAAAATTCTTGATTATAGACAATTTTAAACAAATTATTCTTAAAGAACAAGACCAACATGTTATATACTTAATTTCATTTAAAGGAATCACTTCATGCTATAAAAAAACCTTTCTTGGTTTTATTTAAACATGCCTTCCCCAGAGGATAGAGTCTTCAGTAGATTTAAGTTAGAAAATTCATCTTTGAAATCGGCGTGTTAGTAATCTCCATTCCCCAGTTTTTAACTCTTACACACTTCTATAAACCCACCTTCATCTTCCTGGAGTGCCAAATATATACATACACATATACATATACATATACATATACATATACATATACATACACATACACATACACATACACATATACATATACAATTGTGACATAGTGACCAGCTTTCAAAATTGCCCTTCCAAGCACTGACAGCATTTTTATAATGCCTTACCTTTTCCTCCTCAGCTTTTCAAAGGTATAACTGACAAATGAAAAATTGTATTATATTTTCAATGTATAACAACCATGGATACATTTGAGCGATACACATACATTGTATAATAATTACCACAAATTAATTAATACATCCTTCACCACACAATTACAGTCTCCTGAGTAACTGGGTATATAGGCACAGGCTACCACACCTGGCTAATTTTAAAGTTTTTCTTTGTAGAAACAGGGTCTTTTTATAGGGCTTGAATACTTTAGTGAAAGGGTAAAGGTCTAGTGCAGAACTTTAGGCTCAGAATGCTGGGTTTAAATCTCAGCTTTACTACTTCATTAACAAATCACTTAACCTCTCTATAATTTCTTTACCTCTTTTGTAAAATGGGGAAAATAGTTATGGAACCTAACTCATAAGGCTGTTGTGACCCTTAAGTCAGAGAGTGTGTCCAGAATGATGTGACCTCTTAATGAACGTTAGTTGCATGTCTTCATTACAAGGGAGGTTTGCAATTTTTTCTTTTTTAAAAATAATTATAATTATTATTATTTATGAAACAGAGTCTCACTCTGTCACCCAGGCTGGAGTAGAGTGGTGCTATCTCGGCTTACTGCAACCTTCACCTCCTGGCTTCAGAAAGTGATTCTCCTGCCTCAGCCTCCCCAGTAACTGGGATTACAGGTGTGAGCTACCACACCTGGCTATTTTTTGTATTTTTAGTAGAGATGGGGTTTCTACTTTTAGCAGAGACCATGTTTAGTAGAGACAGGGTTTGTATTTTTAGTAGAGACCATGTTGTCCAGAATGGTCTCGAACTCCTGACCTCAAGTGATCTGCCCACCTTGGCCTCCCAAAGTGCTGAGATTACAGGTGTGAGCCACCATGCACCGGCACAAGGGAGGTTTTTTTTAAAGCCCCTTCTTCAGCGACTGGAATTATTAACCTGGAAGGTTTTCAGTTAAACAGGCCAGAGGATTCTGAACTTGGCTATGATTTAATGCCCAGAAGTACTTCAAAAGAACAACTGTGCATGACAATTGTTATGCTGTGTAGCCCTGTGCAATTCATTGAATTGTTTTTACAAATGAACCTCTTAATTTGTAAGGAAAGAATATTGATCAGGCAGAAAAATACCACATTTATATTGATTAGGCAGACAAATACCATATTTACTGTGATTTCCGAGCTCCTTAAAAACTAAGAAGTATGAAGGTACAATCTCAGATGATGAATACACGTGTCAAACCCGGTACATTCAAAACTGAACTCCTGACCACTTGCCCCCACATTCAGGAAGCACCCCCATCTTAATTTGTAGCCACTCCACCCCGCCCCTTGTTTAAGCAATACACAGTGGAGTGATTGTCCTACTTCACGCGTTCTCTCACACCCACATCCAGTCTCTTAGGAAATTCTGTTGACTCAACCTTCAAGGTATAAACAGTAGCTGCGCACTTTGTACTGCTTCCATTGCTGTCATTTCGGTCTTTGCCATCATCTCCCACCTGAATCACCATGACAACTTCCTGCTGGTCTTCCTGATTCCAGGTCCCCTCTGCCCCCGCCCCGCCCCAATCTATCCTCAACACAGCAGCCGGTCTCCAGAAGGAGTTGTTGTCTTTAAAGCAACTCCTTTAAAAACATAAGCCAGACTGTGTCACTCCTCTGCTCAGAACGCTGTAATGACCCTTTAGAGTAAAAACAAAGATTCTTTTAAGAGACTTCAAGGCTTTCTGTGATCTATCTCTCTTTTACTCCTCTGCCACGTGTCCTACGAGCCCCACTTAGCTCACTCCCCTCCAACCACATTGGCCTCTGAGCTGTTTCTCAGGAACATTCGGTATGTCTACCTTAGGACATTTGAGCTAGCCTTCTCTCTGCTTAGGATACTTCCTTCGAGACAACTGCTGGGCTAATTCCTGCAGATCCTTCAGCACTTCGTTTGGATCTTGTTTTCACAGTATGGCCTACCCTATTTATTTTATTTAATATTTTCCTTTGTCCGTCAGTATTTATTAGCTTCCAACATGAATATCTGTGTCTGTATCTGCCCCGTGAACCAGCCCTTCTCTTTCTCTCTTCTGTGCTCCTTATTTTTCACTGTCTGTTTCCCTCTTCTGAATTATAAATTTCACAAGGGCAGAGATTTTAATCTGTTTTATTCATCCATGTGCCCCCACTTCCTAAAAAACTCGATAAATATTTGCTGACTAATTAAATAGGTGGGAAGGAGGAAAGAGTAATGTGTAGAGAGGAACTGAGAAACATTTAAGATGATTTATTGAGTACCGTTCTTACTTGTTTTCCCCTTTTATTTAAGATTGGCAAAATGCAAGCCTCGGTTCTATCACCATTTCTTGTCTAGAAGTTACTCTTCAAATACCAGGAGTAGATGGTGAAACACAACCATCATATCACCCCTTGGGTATAACTGGGCCAGAACAATAACAATAAGAAGAATAGGAAACAATAAAAGGTAGAAAAGAAAATAGCAAATTCTTTGAATGTCGCTTCAGAGGCAAGTCAGTAGTTTTCCTATGCTTCAGGATTGACAAGATTCAGAAAGCACTACCCCAAAATATACTGCCTTGGCATACTGACAATTTTAAACAGAAGGAATTTGAGAAACAGCAGGTGCAAGAAGGACACTCTGAGCTTCCCCTTCAGCAGGTCATGAGACCCTCATGTGAGAGGTGCACTCCCTGTACCTGGAGGAAAGCATCCTGATCTCTGAAGATGGAGAGTTGCCAGGAGGAATCTGAAAGAACAGACTTTGCTAAGTGACCCCCACTTTACAACACTTAGCCCTTTCTCCTATGATATCTCTTTGTGCTATCAAATTTTCCCACAACTCTCCACTCTTCATCACACCTAGCATAAAACCATTCAATATTAACAATCTCTTCAGGCCTTTATTTCTTTAGGAAGGCTCCTGTGTCATGTGAAACTTATAGTAAATAAATTAGTGTGTTTTTCTTTTGACAATCTGTCTTTTGTCAGTCTAATTTACAAGACTCCATCCAATGAGCCTAAGATGGGTAGGAAAGAAAAGGCTTTTTTCTTGCCCTAACAATCCAGTTCATCAAATATAAGTTCACATTTGTATTAGTTCTCAAGAAAACTGGTTTGGATCCAGCCTATTAAAAAATTGTCTCAACAGAAGTTAAAATTGATAATTTAAAAGACCAGTAAATTCAGAAACATATACTGAGTGAGATATAAACAGTGTGTGAGTTGCGAGTGGGAAAAAAATAAAAGACACTGTCTTTGCCCAGTAAGTGGTTATAATTGGGTAGGAGACACAAAGATGTAACAGCAATAATTACAATCTTCTGTAGAATGTGATAAATGCTATAATAAAGGTACAAAAATGTCTAAAACAACAATAGGAGAGATTAATTATGATACTTTGAGATACTCATTTTTAAAAATTTTATTTTAAATATGTTTTTATTTATTGCAAGACGCTTCAACTAAACTGACCTCAGTTAACAACAGAAAATTGCTATGAGTTTTGTTTTGTGTTATCAGACTCTAGTCTCCTTGTTTCCCACTACCTCAGCTGTTTAAGCAATTTGCTTTGAAAAGTACAAACTTCTGAACCCTAAAGCTTTAAGGAGTATGTTTAATCTAGTAATTACCCATAATCTAAAGTGCTAACAAGACTCAATTCAATTCATCTTATTATCTGAGGTTGAAATTAAGCAGAAAATATAGTGTAGATCCCATAAAATGCAATTTTTGAACCTACTGAAATATTGAATACTACTATCTGATTGAATTTCATTTAGGTGATCACAGTTATAAATATACAACCAGAACAAAAATGATGATGAAATTCCTACGCTAACATTCCCTATTTCAGTGAATAATAACATTAGAATCAGAAACTTGGGAATTATTTCGAAACCTTTCTTTTCTTTCTCTCATCCAATAGTCAATCAATCACACAGTCTTTCCAATAAATTCCTTGGTCTCTTTACTGTTATCCTAATCCAATCTACTACCCTATCTTTGTTTTTTCCAGTGTAAAATTCTATTTTATTTTATTTTCAACGGTCAAATAATAATTGTATATATTTATGGGACACAATGTGATATTTCAAAATACATATACATTGTGGAATGATCAAATCAGTAATTAGCACATACATCAAAACAAATATTTACCATTTTTTGTGGTGAGAACATTTAACATTCTTTCAGCTATTTTGAAACATACGATATATTATTAATAACCATAGTCATCTTACTATCCAATAGAATGCCAGAAATTATTCCTTCTATTTAATTGTACCCCCTTACCTGTTGATCAGTGCCTCCCCATCCCTATTTACTCCCAACCCCCCATGTCTAGTAACCATTGTTCTACTCTTTACTTCTGTGAGTTCAACTTTTTTAGATTCCTTGTGTAAATGAGACCATGTGGTGTTTGTTTCTCTGTGTTTAGATTATTTCATTTAGCTTAATGCCCTCTAGGTTCATCTACATTGTCGCAAATGACAAAATTTTGTGTGGTTTTTTTTAAAAGGCTGAATAGTATTCATTGTGTGTATGTATATATATATATGTATATATATATATCTTGCACATTTTTAATCCATTCATTTGTTGATGGACATTTAGGTTGCTTCCATATCTTGGCTATTGTGAATAGTAGTGAGATTGCTTGGCTGTATGGTAATTCTATTTTTCAGATTTTTGAGGAACTTTCATACTATTTTTCAAAATGGCTATATTAATTCACAATACCACCAATAGGGTACAAGGGCTTCCTCTTATCCACGTCCTCACCAACACTTGTTATCTTTCATCTTCTTTATAGTAGTCAATCTAACAGTCTGAGGTTTTATC